ACTCGTTAAGGTGAGCGCCCAGGTATTTAAAATCTTTAACTTCTTCCAGGCGGATTCCACCCAGCCGAACGATCCGGTCTCCTCGGTCCCTTCTTCTCCCGATCCTCATGAATTTTGTTTTTGAGATGTTAATTTCCATGTTTATATTTCTCATCTCAGCTTGAAGGATCTTGAGGTTAAACTGCAGATTACGGCTGTCATTTCCGAACACCACCATATCGTCAGCAAAAGCAAGCACTGTATACTGGACGCTCTGTAGGTTCCTATATCCGAGGTTGTATAGCCTCATTTTCTGTTTTGCTTGTTTTAGGGCAGAATCCAGCACTAGCATAAACAAGAGGGGGCTAAGGCTGTATCCCTGTTTGATTCCTTGATCTGTTGTGAATTCTTTTGATGTGTGGTTGCACATCCTAACTACATTTCTCTGTGTTTCATATATACTTAGGATGGCTTTTCTCAATCCTATATGAACGCCACATTCCTCCAATGCTCTTGATATATCTGCCTTCTGCACCCTGTCAAACGCTTTATTTAGGTCTACAAAACAGGCGAAGACCTCTCTGCTCTTTTCTATAATCTTCTCGGATATTTGTCTCTTGTTGTAGTTGTGACCTACACTCCTAAATTGTCAAAATAACGAGGTTATATAGGTCAAACGTCCCAATATTTTTGTAGGTCACATTTTTTATCTTTTTTATTATCTTACGATGCAAGCGGAAAGCAAATGGGTATTTACGAGTTTTTATTACCTAATTAAATGGTTTGCAAGACAAAGTTTGCCGACCACCTGATTGAAAACGTCCCAATTCCGAGAATTTTCGTAAATAAAATAGTAGAAGGTTATGATAAGATAAAATTATTTACCAAGTTTCAGCCGGATGTTAATAATTTGATAAAAAGGGGTCTGTACCACGGACTATCTTTTGACAAATTCGAAAATTCATATTTTAAAAAAGGACAAGGTTTTTAAGTTTGATATTGTTTCAGCATGATAGAGCTATACAAGAAAAAAAATCAAAGATAAATCACTTTTCATTATTACATTTTTATAATGCTAAATGTCTCGTTTTATTTAAATTTTCATGATTTCTTCTAACCCATTTCCTTCTTTCTTAGGTAATGTTTTGAAATATAAAAATTCTCAACATTATTTTGTTTGTCTCGATATCTACAAAATAGCCAGAGTTCGGAACACTTTCCCAAAACATGTTTTCTATATCGAGCTGGGTGATTTCATGTGGATTTATCCATCTATTAAAAAAGATGAAGGAAAGTATTACGATCAGGTCAAATTTCCGATGTGCGGTTTTCAACGTATCTTTACGTTTCAGAGCCCCTCCTGTGTCCGAAAAACACATTTTTAGCCATTGGTAGTTTCCATTTTTATTTTGTAGGGTTTTGATTAATACTATAAATATAAATTAATCAATATAATATGATATAAATTAATCAAAAAATGTAAAAATTGATTGACTTTACATAACTAATACCTATTTTCTAATGTAGGTAAAAAGCTGTAAGTTAAATGTAAATTACTGTAAGTTAGGAAAATGGCTCTGATTTTGCAGAAGTATGACAAAAAACATTACATTATGCAATTCATTTTTGTCTTAAGCCAGCAAAAAAATAAATAAATAAACAGAAAGTATAAAGTTCATAAATTAAAAATTATTCAGGAAGGAGATGGTCCGGGGTTGCGGTCATAAATAGGTTAAATAGTGGTAAAACTATTTCATTGAAAGCCGATGTTTAGACCCGACTTTGCAGGTCTTCATCAGGGCTAGAACGGACAAGATACAAAAAGATAGAGAATTGTGGCAGTTACATAATATTTAGACATAATTTATAAACAATGTGAATAAGCTTATTAAAATTATAAACAGTAAATACAATAAAATATGAACAAAGCAATCTGAGTAACAAGATCCTAAACTGAAGTCTTCAGTTACGATCTTGTTACTCAGCTAACTTATTTTATTGTACTTACTGTTTATAATTTTAATAAGCTTATTCACATTATTTATAAATTATTTCTAAATATTATGTAACTGCCACAATTCTCTATCTTTTTGTATCTTGTCCGTTCTAGCCCTGATGAAGTCGGGTCGAAACGTCGGCTTTCAATAAAATAGTTTTACCACTATTTAGCCTATTTATGACCGCAACCCCGGAACATCTCCTTCCTTTATGATGCTATGGTCAACTATTAAATATCCAATAAAAATTATTCAGTTTTCTGAAAATTTTTAGATTTTGTTCTTACAGGCTGTTGCAGTGTGGATGTTGATATATTGTAAAAATCTGTGTATAGTAACAATTAAATAAAATTATTATTAATGAATATCAGTTTAAATGAATATCAGTTATTATTAATGAATATCTGATATCTGTGACACAAATGGGGTGCTCCGTGCGCAATAACATATTTCATGTTCAAACATATGTTTCTAAAGACTGCAGCGCAAAAACGGCTGTAACAATTTTGATGAAACTTTTCTATAATTTACTGATTAATTTCTTTTCAATTTTCGTACATGTACTAATTTTCCAAAAAATACAGAAAAATAGTCATAAAGAAAATAAAAATATATTAGAGTCTAATTCGCAAAATATATATTCTATTGTATAATTTATATATAAACTTTTGAAAAGTAGTTAAATTACCTATAAATACCTATAAAAAATAAAACATTTAGGGATATATTATGAGTGATAAATATTCAGGACGCAGTCATTATAAGGTTTTTATTAGTGCTGACGTTTCAACCCAAACATGTGGATCATCATCTGGGCGTGGTTCGAGCACTGAAGATATTCAAGTACTGACTTGTATTGAAATGTCGGCACTAATAAAAACCTGACAGCGTCCTAAATAGTTATCACCCATTATATGTAAAACAATCAACTAACTTCTTTAAATAATTTAGGGATATAAGTTGAAATTTATAAAAAATTGTGGAATGATATTCACAAACGGACATTGACCTAGATTACAGCGCTTTTTTCCTATTATGCCAACCTATTTAAATGTATTGATATTAGAGTTTTTATTTCCTTGCAATTGAATGTCTAAAATGTATAACTGATCTAAATTGTTCAGATTAATATTTCATTTACAATATGTGAAACTCTTCTCTAGTTTTTGAATAAGAATATTCTTCTTTATTGAATAAGAACATGGGTTTTTATTTTCTAGAGCTAAAACATTTGCTTGCCAAGGTGGAATAAAATTAATTCAGCTGTCATCGTCAAATAAAGACATTTCAATCATATTTTTTTTCCTCATGAGATTGTTCAGGTAAGATTATTGAGTTCGACAAATGGCCTCCCCATTTGTAAGTCCATTCTTTTGTCATCCACCTTGCGAAGTTGCCGACCTGGATTTGTGATAATTCAGCAGAATAAGAAAAGGTACCCAGGATAATAGGTCCTCCAGGACAAATATAAAATTCCATTTATATTTCTTTAATGCCCCTGGAAAGGGAAGGGTCCCGCAAAAACCCTTGCAGGTAAAGACCCTTTGTTGGGTCAGATCCCAGGGCGCAGGTACCTTGGGCCTGCTGCATAAGGAACCTCTCATGGTCATGTTTCATTCTCTCTCCCATGACTCAGGTGTAGAATGGCGCCCTTTTCTTATTTTAACAGAAATCTTTTACAATAATACAAAATGACTTTAAACATTTAGAAAGATGATTTATTTTAGTTAATTTATTTTTAATGTTGAATGATTTTCTCAAAAAATTCATCTAACCTTTCATACTCATACGTGATAAAAAAAAAACTGTATATTTTGTAAAACTGGACGTTACTAATATTGAATGAAACTGAACATATCGTTGATCAGTGGAACAATTGCCTAACTGTAAACCCGTGGCACATGTGTTAAGTGCAAAAATCAGACTTACGGAAAAATGCAATTGAAAGTTCGGTATTTTCACAGGTGCAAATTCAATTTCTGAGATTCAACTTGTAGCAGCATAGTCCATTGAACAAAAAGAAAGTAAGAAAATCAGCTTTCTAGAGATACCCATAAAAATTTACAAAATTGCACTTTTGTCAGATGCCACAGAAATATCGGAGAATCAAACTACTTAAAATTATTATTATATAAATAACATATTTTTTAAAATTCATTGAACCAGTGTAAGATTCTTCTACCCATACAAATCATCCTTTACGACAGAATTTCTTAATTTAGCTTAAGTATAACGACAAGAAACTGCTCGACGTTTTCGCTTACTCCAACACTTAGTAGACAAACGCTTCGAACTTCCCATTAATTACAAACGACTCATATACATGACTATATTAAGACCTATTTGGACTTATGGAGTTGAACTGTGGGGCTCCACTAAACCATCAAATTCCTCTCGTATCCAATCTTTACAATCCAAAATCCTTCGTAAAATCCTCAATGCTCCTTACTTTGTCACAAATAAAATAATCCATAAATACCTCAATGTTCCATATGTTTCCGATTTGGCCGAATCCGGATACCTATCCTTCCATAATAAACTTCATAACCAACCGAATCCTCTTGTTTCTAATCTTGCTTCCTCTTCGATTCCTGATAACCGTCCGAGGCGTCTGAAAAGAAGATGGCCTCGTGATCTTCTCATGTAGACAAATTATTAGGGTGCTACCAATGGGTAGTTTCTCAACTAGTGTGTTTCATGTTATTTTATTCCTCTGTACACATTTACTTGATGTATTCATACTAATACAGTTGTAAATATCATAATAAAAGTTTAAAAAAAAAAAAAAGCTTAAGTATCAAACTTAGATGGAATCTAATAGTGCTACAAACTTTTTAGTATTTATTTATAAAATATAGTACGATAATTTTATTTTAAATAGATTGCTAACCTTTGCACTATGGCCACTTAAACATGACCGCCTACGATAAAATTAGAGCACTGATGAGCTGGAAGCAGAAAGATGCGAAACCGAATTCGTCCGGATACGCACGAACGACCCAAACCCCGATCAGTCGCATCATCCTCGCCCACTAGGGAGGACTCGTTGATCCGCTTTCGTACCTATAGTTGCAACCTTGTGGCAGAATTAATAAAATACATTTAAAAAATACGGTATGGATAGCGAAAAACTTATAACATTAGTCCAAGAAAGGAAAAGTCTTTGGGATCAAAAAGAAACAAATTACCATGTGAGGAGTGTTCAAAAAGCGTTGTGGCAACAAGTTTCGAAAGAAATAAATGAACCAGGTAAATTATATTAATTTTTCCATTATTTTATTTTTGAAAACTGAAATATATTGTAGTGTAAATTAGTTAATAGTTAATTAATTGCAATGTAATATGACCATTATAGTTAATTACATTTTAAATTAAAATTTTTCCTTAATTGCAATTGCTGAAGTAGAACACCAATAGGCACATATCACTCAAAACGTGGCAAACACGAGGGTGTAGAAAGAATATAATTGTCTCGGCTCGTTCACGCTCATGCTTTTCTCTGTTTCTTAGCCTATCCCGTATACAGTTGGTTATTGTGCAAAAATGAAAGTGGTAAAAGGAAAGCATTACTTAAGAACTAGTAACAGACAAACTCAACTACATGTAAACACCTAAAATTAATCTATCAAAATAAAGCACTGACACACATTTCCTTTAAAATCATATCACTAATATACAACGGCAGCAACAATTTTTTTTTCTATTGGGTGCCGGAACACGTAGGAATATCAGGAAATGAAAAGGCAGACAAAACGGCAAATCAAAACCGACTATATCGAATAAATGCTAAGGTTCCTTTACTGGATTTGATAAGAGTAGTAAGAGAGGGGGAAGGGATAATGAAAGACTGGCAGCATTTCTACGACTGGGAATGTGCCTCGAAGGATAAGGACCATCATGCAGTTTAACAGAAGATAGCACTGGTTCCATGGTTTGCGACTCTTAAATCTCATCTCGACCGCTCCAGCTTAGTAAAGCTGACCAGGCTTAGAATAAATCTTGGTAGAACTAATAAATATCTACATCTAATGGGCATAGCTAAGAGTGGTCACTGTCCAACATGCCAATGCTTGGAGGATACAAGACACATTGCCTTCAAGTGCAAAATGTTCTATAAGCGAAGAAGAATTAGTTTAGGATCGCGAACTACGGATGTTAGAGCTGACTTTCTTCGGTCGATGAATAAAGATAACGCCCGTGATTTGATAAAGTTTTTGAATGTCATAAGAGCAGTTATATAATAAAACTCGCCTCTTATTCTCATTTAATTGTTATGAAAGTTAAATTCAATATTTAGTTACATTCAGTGATCATCCGCCTAGAAATATACAATAAATATCCTAATTTCTATTATTTGCTCTTACAACGTATATATACATACAGCTATAAATTCGTAAAAATTACCTTCCTGATTCCGGTCTTTCGGCACTGAACATTAGTCACTTTGACTACATTAGTTACAAATTAATATTGTTTTCCCATCATTTACAACATTTTTTAATTTAATTATCTTATTAATAATGCTCCGATTTGAGATTACGGGAGAAGGAATGAAAACCATATTTTTTCTCTCTACAGCTGGTTTGCCGGTATGTTTTGTTCAACCTAAACGGTATCTGCTCCGCAAAATTAGGTATTTATAGTGAATTCCAAGACAGCAAAAACATTTTTTTTTTTATGTATATAGTTGTTATGACGCTTCAAACAATTGTGAGCAATATTAATCCATTGCGCAAATCGTCGAAAAAACTAGATAGACCCAAGGTTGTTAAAGGTTTGAACTTCTAAAAACCTTGCCCCAGCAGGTCACCCCGGAAGTTATTGAGGATTTGACACGTGGTAACGTTGAATTCAGAGTGAATCCACTACTTGTGACTACATTATTTATTTAATTTTTTTTTAATTAATCGAGTTACTATCGACCCAGTTTTTGATTGAGTAACATCTAATTGTCAATACAGGACAAATTATGAACATGCCACGAGTTTAATAACTAAGATTTAAGAAATAACGAAAAATAAATAAATAAAAATTTTTATTATTATTATTATTTATTATATTTTTTATTAGTAAAAAATATTTTTTTTACATAAATGCAACTTTATGTATTTATATTTTATAGTAATATGTCGTTATGTAGTTAGATAATAAATTTTACAATATCAGAACAATGTAATGTTTACAAGACATGGATTTTAAACAATCTATTTGTATCTACCGCAAATATTTTTACAATGTTTATTTTAAGTAAAATATTTGTACTTGAAATACTTATTTTGTATGAAATAATAATTTTACACTAAAATCTTAATATTTCACATAAAATACCTGATATAAGTAGCAATTGATGGTTAGAATGATAATGTAAATTTTTTTTTTCTTCATAGAATAGTTGTTTTACATAAATCAGTATTACAGTAAACTAGAACTAGTTCACTTTGTTTACTTTAACATGGTATCGACAAATTGTATTATGTTGTATGTGACATTTTTTTTTATCTGTTGCAGTTTTAAACTTTTATTATCAAGTGTAATTCTATCAGTAACTTATTTTTTTTAAACTGTAACTAATCATAAAATAGGTGATTAAGTTTCTATTTATTGACCAATTTACTTTTTAATCACTATAAAACTTTATAATTTTATACTTTTAATAGTTGCAAGATTGTTTTTGATATTTGTAATTTTCTTGACTCTATTTTCTTTTATGACTGTAGCAGTGTTTTTTTCGTATAATTTGTTTTGGATTAATAACTGTAATTTAAAGACAACGAGATGGTTGAAAAACCTAGAGTTGTTATATAAATAAGGTATATTACAAGTCTCTATCTTAAATTCCTGTATGTATAGTATGTATGATATATGTATAGGAAAGCGAAAAAAAGATAAATACAATTTTTTTTTTGTTTATAGTTGAAGCGCTCAAGAAGAGATGGAGAGGATTGAGAGACACGTTTCGAAAGGAATTAAAAAAAGAGATTAATTCGAAAAGTGGTGCTGATGATTCTCAAAGATCGTCATGGCCTTTTTTCAGGCAGTTATATTTTTTAGCTGATACCATCCAGTTAGGGCATACGGAAAGTGGTGTACCACCGGCCGAAGAAGAAGAAGAGTCTCTTTCTGACTCCCTCCACGAGCATCAGTGCCACTCCACTGCTCCTCAATGTACAGCTTTGGCAACCCCTTGGGCTCAGGGAGAAGTATTTGGCGATAACCATGAAACCTCGAAGTCAAAAGCAAAGAAGTCCATTAAAAGTCCATTAATAAAAAAAATGAAATTCTCCCGGGATCAGTCCTCACGCAATGAAGACAGATTCCTCGAACTGGAATCTAGAAAGGCCAATTGCTGTGAAGAAGGAGGACAACAAAACAAATACGGGGATAAACAATTCCTGGATAGCTTACTGCCATTTTTAACCGATATTCCAAAAAACAGAAAACTCATCGCGCGAACCAACATAATGAAGGTAATAATTGAGGAATTGAATCGAAAAGAAAGTTCACACGATAATTATCCACTTTCTCATACTTCTGTTTCAACGAACGCTCCCAATACACCCGCAAGCACGATTTTTGCTGATAGTGATGAAAACTCAGCAGACTGTTTTCCTTAGTTCCACCCTTCTATGTAAATAAATTAACATTCTTTTAGTTATGGAAACGTTATTGCGAACATTCCGAAATATTACTGCAAAAAAATTAACTACTAAAATTTGTGAATGAATTTGTGCGAGGAATAAAAAAATGGTATGAGATTTAAAAGAAAAAATTAAAGAATTTTGGTTGGCCATAATTCCCAACAAATCCAAAATTGCGGCAAATATATTTTTTTTTTTAAATATGATGGGAAAGATGAGGTTGAATATATGATAAAATAGTACAAATTACATTAGGGTTCAAGAATGCCATGAAAACTGCTCTATAAAAAGCGGTTCGCACTATATTCGCAGCTGGCATAGACGTTTGAAAGAAGACAATAGTGGAGGCTATGCTTCTTCAATGGCTGTGGAGACCAAAATGAATGGATGAATGATTAGTATGATTGGGCCAACTCATATCATCCAAAGAAAAAACAAAACCACAAAGAAGAGTTCTAGCTTGGATGAGATATTGAAGTTTAAACATAATTAAAAAAAAAACAAACAAATAGAATGGAAAAAAAAAGTTTTCAACAGCTGCATAATCTCTGTACTTTGCTTTGATAGTTGAAGATTCTCATTCACATGAGCTACAGAGAAGGGTGTACGTATTTGCCAGAACGTAACAGGAACGAATATCGCAGGAATAAGGAAAGAGCAAAAAGTGAGGAACGATGCAGTGAGAAAAAAAAAAAAAACGCAATTCAATACATGAAATATTTTAAATGAAAGAAGCTCAAAATATATTAGAGTTAGAAAATGAGCTACTCTATCTCTTGGAGGTGACGGAATGTAATATTTCTCAATACAGAATTGATGAATTTGACAATAATAATCTACTTTCACTTGCTTGTACTTCCTTTGTACTTAGTACATTACATTTTTATCTCTACATTTAGCATCATAGTAGATTACAAAATCTCGAGAAAATAAATTGATAAATATAATCCAGGATATGAAAATATGATAAGAAAGTTCAATACATATAAATTATTATTATTCAAAAGAAAAATATGTTAGTAGAAAGATTGAGGAATACTTGTTACATATCTCATCTGGGCAGATTTCTATTAAATTTGAATGAATTGTTTTCCCTATTGTTTATTACATTCAACTAATATAATACTGTACGTTTATAGAGAAAAGTGTCACTATGAATGAATAAATGAAAACTTGTTTATTATCATAAAACAAAGTTTATACAGAAACATAATATAAATCATACAACATATGTACAATGGAAAATTTCGTCTATCTGTGTCTTATTTCCACAAAATATATTTCATTTTATATCTTTAACAATATAACATTTTTACATTATTATTAACTACTTTTTAAACTTTTTTTTTGACTAGTTCTCAATTTTTTAAAAACAATTGAGTGTAAAAAGTTTTTAAAAGGAACATAAAATGTTTATAAGACTTCAAAAATAAGATAATACTATGGTAAGTTGTAAATACCGAACTAGATAAAAGATAATCTATAATAAATAAACAGAAATAATTCACAAACAATTTTGTTTAGTGAAGGAATAGCAAAACAATATGAAAAAATAAGTAGATCCTTTGTAATATCTGAGGGAGGAATTAATTGTTTTTCCTTGGTCGATTGCAATATCCCATTTAACTTAATAGAACAAAATGTTTGAACAAATTGCTTTGCTAGGGCCTGTTTTCAATAGGCCCCAATTTTCTAAATTATTAAAATGTACAACCAAAACAATTTCTTTAAGAAATAATAAAGCATATATCAGCCAGAAAAAAAAGGTTAATTGAAAAGTAAATGCAGTATCTTTAAAGAGGAAGAGATTATTAAGTATACCGAAACTACTGGGCTGTATTTTTGTTAATAATTATCCTTTTTTTTTTTTTTATTGTTTTGTAGGTAATTTAAAAAATATTTAATTTTCGAGTTATTCGCAAATAAAGTTTCTTTTCCTTTTCCTTCATAACTTTTTTCCTTTGAATTTCGGGGGGAGAGGAGGAGGAGAAATGTGACTATATTTCCCACCTGAAGGTGAAGAAGATCTTTATGATGAGGGCTCAATCATTGGATTTGATGAAGAATTGAAAAAGTTATAGCATTGTGAAAAAAAAAACTTATATAAGTCAAAAAACAAATAGTATCTATAATACATAAATATAGTATTCTACTAATCGTTCACAAACTTATATAGTAATTAATTAATTACCAATCAGCACCTGTCAATTGGCTAAATTAAAGAACAATTAGAAACTGTTAATTAATTTAAATAACCCAGACTAAAGGTTCTATTTTGAAAATTCGGTATAGGCCACATCAGTCAATTTCAAGAAAGATAAGTCTTACCATATCTTAAACACTATTTAAATTTTGATTTATATAGCGAGTTTAATAAAAATTGTGTGAGCTGATTTTAAAAAAGGGTAAAAATCTTTTATAGAAAATTTATCTTTCGGCATGTCCACTTTAGCGAAAAATTCTGTTACATCACTGGCATATTCCTTCTTATAATACATAATAATAGTTTCATATGGCTTTTCATTTTCGAGGTAGACTTTCCATATACAAGAAGACAAGTATTATAAGATCTTCTTTCCTTGAAAAGTCGAATTACATATTTTTCGCGACTAACATAATTTTCCTGAATATATTTTGGATAAATAAGAAATAAAAATAAAAACAAGGATTAAAACTTTGTTGTATTTATTTGTATAGCTACGGCTATCTTAAGGTTCCAGGCTTATTTCCAAGTCCAGTGGCTTGGCGAGTCTGGTTTGAAAGAGATCTCACGAAAAGTCTCGAGCTACCTAGGGCCTTCGTCGTGCTTTGTCGGCCCCCCCTCTTCCATTTTAGGCTTGTGGCTCGTCGGATGGCAAGCCTCAGTACAGTTCCTGCATTGGTGCTCGTGGTTAGTTTTGCTTTGTATGTTTTTTTTTCCTCCACATTTTCAGTGCGTAATTAAGGATAATTATGACATGGCCCAGTGACGTTATTATGGAGTTTCTTGATCTATACGAAAGAGAACCTTCCATCTGGAACCCGCAAAATGCTGACCACAGAGATAGAAATAAGGTATACGAATCATGGAAGCGAATACAAGAAAACATAACCGTCAATTGTTCTTTAACAGAGCTGAAAAGGAAGAAAGAAGCTTTGATGGCGACTTACAGGAAGCTGGCAATGAGGGTAAGAAAAAATAAAGAAGCATACAAGCCAGAATGGTTTGCATACGAAAAAATGGCATCATTTTTGCACAACATCTACACGCCTAGGAAGATGATAATTGATGAGGTAAGCACTTAGGAATTTTTTTTTCGTTTAATTCCTCTATTACCTACCTGTGAGTACCCAGGTAACATTTTAATTCACAAAATCACGTTGTTTTGATAGTAATTAAAATGTTATTATTCATTGAAAATTAGAAATTAAAGTTAATAAAATATTCAATTGTTTGATATGTAATTATTTTTTTAATTATGCAGGGTGTCCCGTAAGTAGAGAGAAATATTCAAAAGGTTAATAGTAGACACCAAGATCAACAAAAAAGTATATATAAACAATTTCCTAATTCCCAGTGGAAAAGTACGAAATTTAAGATTTTTGTTTCTATAAGCGTCACATTTTTTTTATGAATAGGAAGCGATAACATAAAAAAATATTTTGTTTAAGTAAATAAAAATTGCTCCATTATGAACTAGACAAAATTTACTTGAAACGAAAGTAGAGTTTGTTATGATTAAGACCATTTAAAGAGGACTTTTGAGCGGCTTAACTAAGCCAAGTTATGTTATTAAAAAAGTCGTAAATTATTTGAGATTTTTTCATCATTATCCAACTAAACTACAGATACCTCATTTTAGAAAAAGTCCCCGTTCAATAAGCTCTAAGTCGGTATTAATTAAGTTGAGGTTTATAAGGAAAAACATTGGAAATCACCTCAAGTTGTGAAAAGAAATGTGATTTCCTATCCAGTTATTTACGAAAATTCTCGGAGTTTGGGCGTTTTCAGTCGGCAAATTTTGTCTATTTAATTAAGTATTAAAACTCGTAAATATCCATTTTCTTTCCAAATGGATCTTTAGATAATTTGATCACAAAATTGATAAAAACGTTGGCCTAAAAATACATTGGGCCGTTTGGCCCGTTGGGTTGTAGGTCACGCCAAACGGATCAATATTTTTGAAGGCCACCTTTTTTCTCGACTTTTAGCTAAATTTAAGTTATTTATAGAACAAGATAAACATGTAAGTTTAATATTTGACGGCCATTTTTAAGAAATTTTCGATTTTTAAGGTAGTCTCGTTTTTAGTTGAATAGGAAGCGATATCTTCAGAAATATTTGATTTAAGTAATTAAACATTGCTCCATAGTAAACTAGACAAAATTTACTATTATAGTTTGTCATTTTTAAAACTATTTAATGAGGAAATTTGAGCGACTAAACAACGTCTATTTTAAAAAAACGTCTTCCAAGGAAGGTCAGTATAGCTTGCTCGCCGTTTTCATTGGCTAAAAAATGTCCGTATTACAAGGTCTAAAATTTTTCGTATGAGAATAAAATCTCTGGGAGAAGCCTTTTTTGGAAATTCAGTAATCCCTCAACATACACTGGTTTGATATCCACGAATTTTGTTCATCAGCGAATTCTAAAATGCGAAAAAGTTCCGCATATGCAGATTACATATTTGATGAATCGAGATATAAAAAAAAATGGAGTGAGATCTGAACATGAATATCGCTACTATTAGTGCAAAAAATCGTGTGTAAACATTGAGTGTTTTACAGGAAAGCATAAAAACTAATTATTTCGTTATGATGTATTAGTATAATTTCGTAATTTATTGCCCACTGCTATTCTTCATCGTAGCAGAATGCTTTTGTACTGTAGTAATATGTACTTAATCGGCATGTTTTCACTTGTAAAATCGATGCTACAAAAATAAATCGATCTTATAAGAGAAATAAGAAAAACTAAACTTTTTGTTTAGTTGAGTTAACGAGACCAATACTTTTCTTCAGTCAGAACAAAACTATTTAAGCTGGAATTTAAAAATATATGTAAAAATCACACATAAACACGATACCACTGCGAGCTGGTTGAACTTTAATAGAAATAAACACAATCACAAATAAGATTTTTCTTTTTTACGAACTCAGAGTAATAGTCCTTGGTACAGATCCCTTTTTATGTAACTATTAACATCCGCCTGAAACTTTGTAAATAGTTTCATCTCATCGCAACCTAAAACTATGTTATTTACGAAAACTCTTGGAATTGGGGCGTTTTCAATCTGGAGGGAGACAAACTTTGTCTATTTAATTAGGTACTAAAAATTCGTAAATACCTATTTGCTTTATTCCACTCGCGTTTTACGTTTCAGACAACGATGATCAAATTTGGTTCGGTTTCTGTATGTCAATCTATCTGTCTATCTGTCGGTCTGTCTGT